GGAGCTCGTCGTTCAATTAGGCGATCCCCATAGTGCGATGGAACACACGAAGGGGCTGATGGGTAGGGGACCTTGAATGAGAGGTCGTGTCGCATGATTTGTTTTTTGTCTGCTAGTCAAATTGTGTGGTCCGCATCATCCTTCTCTCCCCTCTCTCCCTTCCCCTCCTCCCCCGGCATGGCCGCGATTGTTGCCGCCGTCCTCGCCGCCGCCTTCGCCGTCACGCCCGCCGCAGTCGTCGTCATCCTCTTCGCCGACTCGGTCATCGTCGCCTTTCCAGCCAGCGTCGTCGTCGTTGTCGTCGTCGCCTTCGGCCTCAAACCTGCCCGCCCAGCATCGTCCGCGTCGACGGCGTCACGCAGCCGCACCTCTTGCTCTGGCACTGGGCAGCGCTGCGCTCCCGCGCGCGCGCCCGCCCGCGGGCCGCCGCCGCTGCGGTGGCCGTCGCTGCAGCCGCCGCTGCCGCTTGGGGAGGGAGGAAGCGGGGCTGAGCACGGCGTCGGGAGGCATGGGGCTTAGATTGGGGAAGCAGGGGAGGGAGGAGGCAGGATGAGCCAGGAGGGCAGGGGGAGGGAGGGGGAGGGGAAGGAATGGGGGGGAGGAGGAGGAGGAGGAGGAGGAGGAGGAGGAGGAGGAGGAGGAGGAGGAGGAGGGAGGAGGAGGAGGAGGAGGAAGAGGAGGATGCGGAGGAGGAGGGGGAGGAGGAGGAGGAGCAGGAAGGGGAAGAGGAGCAGAACGAGGCTAGGGGAGGAGAAGATGAGGATCATGAGAAGGAGGGGAGGAGGATGCGTACGAACAGGAGGAGAGGAGGTCGCGGCGGAGGAGGAGGAGGAGGAAGAGGAGGAGGAGGAGTGGAATTGTTGTCGCTTCGCGAATCCCCACCAGCCCATCCAGAAACGATGCCCAGAGGAATTGCCTCGATCAGAGAAGTGGGCAGCACACAGAGGAAGCCATTATGAGACATCTTGGGATATCTTGAGCCATCTTGGAGGTCATTTTGGGCTCTCCCAGACGCTCTTGGAGTCATCTTAATCCGTGCCCCCCCCCAAGAGGCCTCCATGTGGCTAAAACCTGTGTAGAATCAATGATTAGGCATTCTCGCCGAGGCCTCTTGGAGCATCTTGGGTGCATCTGGGGGGGCTCTTGGGGCCTCTTGGGGGTCTCTTGGGGGCCTCCGGGGGGCCTCTTGGGGGCCTCTTGGGGCCATTTTGGGGCCATCTTGGGACCTCTTGGGGCTTCCTGGGCGCTTCTTGGGGCCATCTTGGAGGAGATCGATCAAACAAGAGGGGGGGTTTAATTAGCGTCCCCCCTCGGAAGCCCCTAAAATCGCCTCTTGGACCCCTCTTGGAACGCTCTTGGAGTGCTCTTGGGCGCTCTTGGGGCCGTCTTGGGGCTCTTTTGGGGCTCTCTTGGGGCCCTCTTGGGCCATCTTGGAACCATCTCCAGGCCTCGGATGGCCATCGGAAGCGAAAAGGCGAGAAAGCAAAAATCATTGATTTTCCTTAGGTTTTGGGACGATTTTGGCCTCTTCGGGGCCTCCTTGGGGAGCTGTTTGGCCACTTGGAGTTATCTTGGGGCCGTCTTTGGGCTTCTTGGAACCATCTTAGGAGCCATCTCGAGCGATCTTGCGCTATCTTGAGCCATCTTGGAGCTCATCTTGGGTTCTCTGAGGCGCTCTTGGAGCCGTCTTGGGCCATCTGGGACGCTCTAACTACCAGCGGCCCCCCCCGTCCAGGTCCAGGGGAGGGGGTAGGGGGAGGGGTAAACCCCTCCCCAAGGGGGAAGAGGGAGGGGTGGAAGAGGATCTGTTCTAGACCACCTACGCCCAGAGGGCTGGTGGGATACATGGGGAGGACAAGACTAGATGGTATTGGAGGGCGTGGGAGAAGATAAGGACGTGGAAAACTAGCTGATGATGATGATTGAGAGGGAGGTGGACGAGGTGGAGGCGTGCTACGTCTGACTAGATTCAGGACCGTGGAGGGGGAAAAGAAGGAAGACGAGAGAGATGAAAGTGAGGTGGACGAGGACGAGGGGGGAGAAGAGAGTGCGGAGAGGATGGAGTTGGGAGGGAGTGGGGGAAATGGGGGAGCGTAGAGGGAGTTGGGAGGGAGATGAAACCAGCGGGGAAGAACCGGGAAGACGTGCTCCTCCCGCCCCATCGACCCTCCTCCTCCTTCGTGGCCCTGCCAGGAGGCACCTCCGGGAGGCCCAATGGCGTTTCTAAATCGTGTTGGGTGGGGTGACCCCCCCCCGGCTGCCGCGCCCGGGGGCGTTTTGGCACTTGGGGGGGCATTTTGGGTCATCCGAGAGGCGTCTTAGGCTCCTCTAGTGCTGTCTTGGGGCCCTTCTTGGTTCGTGGGTTTTTGTTGCCCTCCTACTGGGAAAGGTTTGTCTCCGGGAGTGGCGGCGGTGTGGTGGGGCGACGTTCCCTTGTGGTTGTTTTGTATGTTTCAGCCTCTCCTCCTCCTGCGCCTCTATCTCACCCCTCTTGCTCGGCGGCCGCGTCGGTTCACATGGCCCTTGAGCTGTGCGGCAGCTGGCAGCGGGCGCGCGCGAGCCCCCATAAAAGTAAAGAGAACGTGCTCTCTCTCTCTCTCTCTCTTTTGTTTTCTCTCTCTCTCTCTCTCAGCACAGGTTCATCCATTTGCACATCGTGTCTCTCTGTATTCCATACAGCTGCTACAGTGCATTCCACACCCCTGTAGACAGAAAGGACGTTCCGCCCGTTCCGATTGTTGTATTCGACGCGACCCCAGTGCGCAGGATGCGGCCATATCGGTGTTGTTTAATTGCTCAATTTCGTTGCGCCAGATATGTTAGGCTCCCCAGTCGCAGCTTTGGCTCACGTCGAATTTGATTTGAGCCCGCAAAACGCGCTTATGTGGCAGCGTAGCGTTCATTAATACAGCTTTGTCGCGCAAGCGGAATTTTGTACTCGGCAAGAAGTTTGTACGGGCTGCACGCGGTGGCCAGGTCCAGGTGTTCATCAGTTTGAAGTATCAAGAAAACGCAACGGCAAATTGTGGCATTGCAGAAGCAGTTTGCTATACATTGGTATATGCACCAATGTTGGGCGTGCACTCCACGTTGAACTTTTCAATTTGCAGACCAGTGAGGGCCTTGAAGTTTTCGGCATGTGTGCGATCTCGCTGCAGGCTGTCTTTTCAATCATCAGATTTCGAGGACGCTTTTCTTTTTAATTCGCCAGGGTATATTGTATACTCAAGTTCTCCATTAGCCACGTTGTCAGAAAAAATGAGTGGCGAAGTATTGGCGACGCTAACCCGTAGTTTCCTTGCGGAACGGCATCCTTCATCTCAGCTGTTTGATTGCGTGCCTGGTTTTTGCGCCAATGGGGCACGAAGAGGTGTGCATAATGGCGTGTATGATTGGTTGATGGACGGACAACGAGTGGAATGCAAGAGTGGCCGAATGCAGTGGAAGCAGAACCGGTGGGTGCTCAGTTTTTGTAATATCAAGTGGCGTTGCGAACAGTCGGCTCGTGGTCAGGCGTTTGATCGGTTGTTTTTGGTGTTTCACCATCCAACACATTTGCGCATCTACGAACACAGTCAAACGGGCATCGCAAATTCTTGCAGAAGTAGTGCTATCGTCCTCTATGGGCCGAAGTGGGGTGCTTGTTGGGCAGATGCTTCGGCCTCCATCACCGGGAAGCTCCAGAGACAGGGTTCCCTTCTCACGCAGATCCCATTATCAGATCCCCGAGTCAAAGCAGCGATACTTGCTCATCAGTGCGAGAAGATGCGAATAGCGTACGGTGGGGTGCCGCTCTCTGATTGCGGATCTGCGTCAAGAGGTTTGCGTATCCAGCGCATCGTTCGGGCGGTTGATGGGATGGTACATGCAGGGGCTGATATTGTGAATCCGCAGGATGGTTTCTGTGTGAATGGTGCGCGCCGGGGTCTTTCCAGAGCGATGTACGATTGGGCTCGTGGACGTGTGCGTGTTGAGTGCAAGAGCGCTCAATTGTCGTGGAACAAAGCTGGACAGTATTGGATGTTCTTGTTCCAAAGGATTAAATCACGGGCCGCGTTTGACGAGTTGCTCCTCGCACTTTATAGCCCACGTGGCATACACATTTACCGTCATGATCTGACATTTCGCCTAGCCAGTCGTGGCAGTGTCGATCGCCAGATCGTTCTGCGTGCGCCGCGGAGCGTACCCGTTTGGCCTCAGGCTCTTGATCGTATTCTTGATCTGCTTGATAGTTCTGAGTGCCAACCTGTGGCGTTTGTTTCCTGGGCGAACGGCCGGACGGAGCCGTAAAGGACGAGTCGCAGAGAAGCGCAGCGGTCTGTCTTCTGGCCAGTCGGTCTGGCACTCATTTGGGTAATCGTGGCGGCCACGCTCGCCAACCAGGAGGCCTCCTGGCGTCTCATAACTTATGCGGGCCAATCAGGAGGCCTCCTGGCGACTGGCCCCGACGACGTCCCGCCAGACTTTTGGACGGCAATGGCAGAGGAGGATATTGCATGTGCCATTCGACTCTGTGTCTGCCAACCGTGCTGGGAAAAGGACAGCATCCCACCCAGAGTCTTTGCGGCGTGCAGAAGTCGTGCTTTTGCTCAACAAGGGGAAGGGCCCACGCGGCCTTCCAAACCTTGGGGGTCCGTGAGGGTGCTGGGGTGGCCTCGGGTGCCGCGTTGGGGCGGCTTGGGCCCATTTGGGCTTTCTTGGGCCTTGTGAGGAGGAGGAGCAGGAGGAGGAAGAGGAGGAGGATGGGGAGGAGGAAGGGCTTCTTGAGCCAAACAGAAGCCCTTGCGGAACATCTGAAGCCGAAAAAAGTGAGTAAGGGCAAACCCATTGAAACCTATCGCGTTTCAACACTTTTGGCCTCCCGGGAAGATTTGGCGTCAAGGGATGGCCCCCTGCGGCCCATCCTGACGGCGCCCTTCCGAAATCGATGAATATCTACATGTTTTGTCGCGCTTGTGTTCGATTCGTTGTGGGTGCCTCTTGGGGGCCTCTAGAGTCATCCGGGAGCATCTTGGGAGTCCTTGTGGCTGTCGGGACGCCTCGAGTGTCATATTTGGCAGTGCTTTTGGGCGGGCCATCTAGAGGCCTCGTGTCGGGCGTGGTGGAGTCAACTCGGCACCATGTGAAGCACCTTGGGGCATATCTGAAGTCGCATGGGCGAGAAAATGTGAAATCCTTGGCAACTTGATGTTCGACTGTTTTGGCTTCTGGGGGGGGGCGGGCGGCGAGGTTGGGGGTCTCCTGGGCGTTTGATCCTCCACAATTCCAAATCACGAGAAACCCACAGCTAGTGTGCTCGAGATTTGTGTTAAAGGATCTACGGCGTTTTTATCATTCGAGGCCTTGCGCGTTGCGGCATTGATGGGCGCCCCTATTGATCCTTTCTGCCTCTACGATAATGGGCTCCTCACACGGTGCGACACGGCCCCAGCGCACAGGGCGCGGTCGGATCGAAGACGCCTACAGCGAGTCACCGCCTCCTACCTTTCTTTTGGAAACGCCTGTTTCGGGAAACGTGGAGCGAAAGTGCGGTCATGGTCGTGGACTGCCTGTTACTGCAGCCGGTGACGATGCTCCTATAGATGGGGTAGGATAGCAACGCAGACGCAGTGGACAGCGTGCTCACCCAATGCTTCCCAACCCTCCTGCGTTGGGCTCCCGCTTTGAATAGAGCACGGGGCCTACTTCCTGCCTGCCTCCTGCCTCGCCATCCCTGCGGGGGGGCTTGGAGCTGTGACACTGTCGCCACCTCCGAGGGCTGCTTTTTTTGTGTGGGGGGGGGGCAGCGGAGTCGGGGGGGCTGCGCAGCTCCAGATCACGCCTCGCCATCCCCGTGGGGCTGCGATCTGCGAAACCGTCGCCACGTTCGAGGGCTGCTGGGGGGCCCAGCGGAGTCGGGGGCTATGCAGATCCAGATGAGACCTCGGCATCCCTGGGCGCTGCGATCTGCGACTCTGTCGCCACTTTCGAGGGTGTTTCGGAGGACCAGCGAAGTCGGGTGCTATGCAGATCCTGATTAGACCTCGCCATCCCTGGGTTCGGGGGGGGGGGGGTCTGCGAAACTGTCGCCCTTTTCGAGGGCTGCTGGGGGGGACAGCGGAGTCGGGGGCTACGCAGATCCTGATTAGACTTCGCCATCCCTTTGGTCTGCGAATCTGCCGCCACTTTCGAGGGCTGTTCGGAGAACCAGCGAAGACGGGGGCTACACAGATCCAGATTAGACCTCGCCATCCCTGGGAGGGGTTCGATCTGCGACACTGTTACCGCTTTCGAGGGCTGCTGGGAGGTCCATCGAAGTCATGGGCTACGCAGCTTCATACTTGACCGACGTCGGGGGCAAGACTGCGAATGACCTGGACAGCCTCTGGTTTCATCTTTGCTACGTGATGCTTTCCAAGGCCACGAAGGTACACAACTGGTTGATGATGACACGCGACCCTGGGCTCGCTTTCCTTTGACGCGGGCCGCCCGCAGACCTGGTGGCGCGCCTGCGGGCGTCTAGCTCCCGCACTGACAGGCGCAGGAAGGAGTCGGAGAGGCGGCTGGGCGAGGAGCTCGGCCTCGCTAGCTTCCTCTTCTTCTATCACTTCCTCCTCCTCCTCCTCCTCCTCCTCCTCGTCCTCTTCCTCCTCATCCTCCTCCTCCTCCTCCTCCTCCTCCTCCTCCTCTTCCTCCTCCACCGAAGACGAGCACCAGCTGTGAGCAGCGCATCCTTCGGGGCGCCGCACGACGTGGCACGGGCTGTGTTGCTTGTCGGCGCCCTGCTGGGAGCAAAAACGCCCCCCTCCTTTCTGATCCCGCCTCGTCCCCAGACATCCGGCGTCTCGATCTTTTCGAGACACGGGCTCCCCGCCTCTGGACCAGTTCCCTGGGATGGACGGATGGACCAGCTTCTGGTCCCGAGTCGTTTTTGTTGACGCTCCCGAGGCCCGGTAAGGGCCCCGAGAGGCTGAAAACGAGGAAGAATTTCCGCCCCGATTTTTTCGAGGCGCCCGCTGTCTGGGTCATCGTCCTCGTCACCTTTCCTCCGTCTCCCCGCTGCTGCCTCGCGGCCGTCTCGGCAGCCCCCCGTTCCGTCCTGCTCCTGCCCCTCCCCCCGTTCCCGCCCCAGTGCCTCGTCGAGCCCGGGGGCCTCGCTCTTCGTTCTTTTTTATCGCCGTCCCGTGAGTCGTGGAGCGCACGCGTGCGCATCCCATGCAGCTTCCACCATCGATTCGGCCACGCGCAAAGGAGGGAGACCCCCTCGCGTCATTTTGTCATAACAAATCAAGAGGGAACAACAGCATGAAAAACATGGCGGGACGTTTCCGCTATTTTCCCCCTCTCGGGGCCCTTGCCGGACCTCGGGACCGTCAAAAAAGGATTCGGGATGAAAAGGTGGTCCTGGGTCATGGGTCGGGACCTCTGGGGGTCGACGTCCAGACCAAAATCATGACGTCGGGGGTCTGGGGAGGGGGGAGGCTACTTAGAAGCAACCTCGCTTCTTAGAAGGCGCGGGCCTTCTCTGCATATGTGAGGCCCGCCCGCGTCTTCTCAGGAGCAGCCTCCTAAGAAGCCTTCCCCCCTCCCCCCAACCCCCCTCTGCGCGCCGCCAATCAATGCCGGTTCCTGCGTCGTTTCCGTCCATGCAGGTGTCTGTTTTCTCCCCTTGTCGTTCGATGCGGATGGGTTGGGTACGTCGCAGGGTAATTGTTTTGTATTTCCCAAGCCGTCCATTTGGGCGTCTTGGGCCCCTAAGGGATAGTGCCGTCTTGGGGGCCTCTCGGGGAAGTTTGGGGGCTGTATTGGACTGCCTTTGGGCCCGCTTGGGCGCCTTTGGGAGCCCTCGTGGGCCGCGTTTGGGCTTAGTCTCGCGGGACCTCTTGGGGGTCCACCTTCGTGCTTCACGAGCATTGAACCGCCCATCGTTTCTCACTTGTTTTGTCTCCAAGATGCCCTCTTGTCAGCCTCTTGAAGGCCTCTGTGGGCATCATGGAGGCCTCTTGGGTCATCTTGGGCCGTCTTGTCGGCGGCTCAGAGCCATCGTGGCCGTCCTAGAGCCGTGTTGGAGGCCATTTGCGTCCGTCCCGGCCGTCTTGGGTGGAGTGGCAGGCGTCTTCGCGGTCAAGTAGACCCGAAAAACCAGCGAGCGGGATGGGTCTCACATCCAGCACGCCAGGCACCCAGCTGCTGAAGCCAATGGGGGCGGCGGATCTGCATGGCTGCGCCCTTTGCCGCCCACTCCCCGGTCTGAGCCATGTTGGGACTATGCAGGGGTACCCTTGGGGCTTGGTTGGGCCATCTTGAGACCTCCTCCTTGACGATCTTTGGTAGGTCCTGGGAACCACATTTGCACTTCGGGGGGGCCATGCTGGGGGGCCATCTGGGGATCATCTTGGAGCCTAGTTGGGCCACTCTTTGGAACATCCCTGGGCCGCTTCAGGCAATTCAGAGCGTTTCGGTGCATACCTTCGGAGCACCTTGCACAAAAGGCAAACGCGTAGGAAACCTCAGGCTTTTCAGTTCTCTCTCTTTCTCTCTCTCTTTCTCCTGGGAGCGTTTTTGGTTCAGTCTTGGCGAAGTCGTGGGGCCCTTTTCAGACGCCCTGGGAGCATAGCTAAACCATCTTGGGCCCGAGGAGGGAGGAGAGAGGGAGGCAGGGAGGGTGACGGAGGCAGGAGGAGCCAGGGGGACGCCCGCGCCCGCGGCGAGGCCTTCTGCGCGGCCTCCGTGACCATCTGCTCTGGCGCCATGGCGGAGCGCACGCACATGACTGCTTACCTGACGTTCGCGGCCACGCTTGCGGGGGGGGGGGGTCGAGGAGGAGGGAGGAGGAGGAGGAGGATAAGGATGAAGAGGGTTAGGAAGAGGAGGAGGAGGGCGAGGATAAGGATGAAGAGGGTTATGAAGAGGAGGAGGAGGAGGATGAGGGCGAGGAGGAGGAGGACGAGGAGGAGGAGATGGAGAAGGAGGAGGAGGACGAGGAGGAGGAGAGGGAGAAAAAGGAGGAGGACGAGGAGGCGGAGGAGGAGGAGGAGGACGAGGAGGTGGAGGAGGAGGAGGAGGAGGGATGTGGGAGGGGTATAGACAGGAGGAGGAGAAGGAGGAGGAAGAGGCGGAGGAGAAGGCGAGGACATCGAGGCTTCGAGGAGGAGGAGGAGGAGGAGGAGGAGGAGGAGGAGGAGGAGAAGAAAAAGAACGAGGAGCAAAAGGAGTGGGAGAACGAGCAGGAGGCGGCCTGCCCAGCGACGACGACGGAAGACAACATTGACGAGCGGCCCCCGAGGCGTGCATGGCGGGCGTGGTCTACCCCACCGTGGCGGACAGCGCGTGGGGCAGCGGCAGGTTCGCCGGCGAGTTCCACGGCAGGCCGCCGCCGGAGCCTGTCGGGCGCCCTTCGTCCGTCGCCGTTGTCGTCGTCGTCGTCGTCGCCGTCGTCGTCGTCGTCGTCGCCGCCGCCGTCGTCGTCGTCGTCGTCGTCGTCGTCGTCGTCGTCGTCGTCGTCGTCGTTGTCGTTGTCGTCCTCGTCGTCGTCGTCGTCGGCGTCATCGTCGAAGTCGGCGTCGGCATGTGGCGTCGTCGTCGGCGTCAACGTTGGCGTCGGCGTCGGCGTCGGCGTCGGGCGTCGGGCGTCGGGCGTCGGCGTCGGCGTCGGCGTCGGGCGTCGGGCGTCGGCGTCGGCGTCGGCGTCGGGCGTCGTCGCCGCCGCCGCCGCCGCCGCCGCCGCCGCCGCCGCCGCCGTCGTCGTCGTCGTCGTCGTCGTCGTCGTCGTCGTCGTCGTCGTCGTCGTCGTCGTCGTCGTCGTCGTCGTCGTCGTCGTCGTCGTTGGGCGTCTGGCGTCCGCTGTCGTCAGCCTTCGTCGTCAGCGGGCCGTGCCTGCGGCTGCGAGGGGAATGAAGGCGAAGGGGAGCGGCGGAGGAGTGGGCCAGCGGAGGAGGAGGAGGAGGAGGAGGAGGAGGAGGAGGAGGAGGAGGGCGAGGGAAAGGAGGAGGAGGAGGCGGAGAGAAGGGCGAGGTAAAAATAGGAGGAGGAGGAGGGTGGAGGAGGAGGAGGAGGAGGAGGAGAAAAAGAAGTGGGCCTCGGAGTGGTGCCTTCGGCGGCGAGGGGATTGGAGGAGGAGTGGGCCAGCGGCGCGGGCGCGCCAGCGCCGGGCCCTCCCTGCTTCCTGCCGCCGCCCCCCCTTCTCTGGAGGTGGCACGAGGGCTACGACTACCACGACTTTGCGGGCGCGCCCGCCCCTCGACATCCTCCTCCTCCTCCCTCTCCTCCTCCTCCTCCTCCTCCTCCTCCTCCTCCTCCTCCTCCTCCTCCTCCTCCTCCCTCCTTCGTCTTGCGGCAGGCGAGCATGAGCACCGAGACTGTTGCGAGGCCCTCCGAGTCGTCGGGGTGTTGAGACCGCCCCCGCCTACTCGGGGGGCCTGTTGAAGCCAGCCGAGACAAGCTTGGGTGGCTGCCCGAAGTCTTCCCAGTGCAGGGAGGAGAAGGCGGAGGAGGAGGAGGAGGAGGAGGAGGACAACGAGGAGGGAGGATGAGGAGGAGGAGGAGGAGGAGGAGGAGGAGGAGGACAACGAGAAGGCACCCGCCCGCTGGCACCCCGCTTTCCCGTTGGCGCTGGGCCTGGCGACCCCCCCGAGGAAGCGAGCATGAGAAGGAGGAGGAGGAGGAGGAGGAGGAGGCGGAGCAGAAAGAGGTCGAAGAGGAGGAGGAGGAGGAGGAGGAGGAGGACGAGTAAGAAGGGGGAGCGAGGATGAGGATTGTGAGGGTGAGGGTGAGGGTGAGGGTGAGGGTGAGGGTGAGGGTGAGGGTGAGGGTGGTGATGGTGATGATGAAGACGTGGAGAAGCACCACACCGACCGAAAGAGTCAACAACTTCGCATGCAACCGACAACATCAAGTCATTTCAGAAGTTCGGAGCGAGCTTCTGGAAACAGAAATCAAACCTCCTCCTCCTCCTCGTCAAGTCCGCCGATGACGAGGAGGAGGAGGAGAAAGAGGAGGACCAGCGTAAACCCAAGACGCATCGACGCTGCAATAAGCACTTCCTCCAAGTTCCATCTCCATAATTAGGTACCCACAATAATTTACTTTTACTTCGGGAAGTGTACACGGGGAAGTCAACCGTGAGACATCGCGTCCTCGCTGTCCTAGATCGTACCAGAATACCATCCGCGGGATTTCAACACTGCGAATCAACGTGACCGTTCACTGTGCCAGAATACCGCGCCTATGACTTCAACCATCTGAATCCTTGAAGCTCCTGGCCGTCAAGACGAATGTACGCGGCGCCCAGGCGAGAATCACAGTTTGAAAAGAAACGGCCCTCCATCTGTGCAACCGCTTTAATTGTGTCAGACGACTGAGCGCGGCGCTTAGGCGAGCGCGACAAGTTGAAAACGGCCCGCCTTCTATCCGTGAAACTGTTGCAAGCTTCGAGCACGAATCTGCGCGGCGCTGAGGCAAGAGCTGCATTAACAATTGACCCGGCCTCCACCCGTGAAGTTGTTGCAAATCTCAACCGCCAGAACCATGGATGGTGGGAAAGTCTCGGGCGAAGCGCTTGGCCCGCCCTACCCACACATCTGACCGACACGTCTGAGGGTGTGACAGGGAGGATTGCTTATAAGGAAGAAGGATGGAGAAAGAGCAGGAGGAGGAGGAGGAACAGAAGGAGGAGGAGGAGGAGGAGGAGGAGGAGGAGGAGGGGGAGGAGGGCGAAGAGTGTGTTTTTGTTTACCCTCTGGGCCGTAGCGCGCGTTATGCCCCCTCCCTCCCCGCCCCTCCCCCTACATCACGTTACGCTCCCACCCCCCAACACTGCCGCAGCGCGTCCAGCACCACAGCTTGTCACCTGGTTGGGGGGCGGGGGCGTTGCGTCATTCCCCCCCCCGGGCCCCCCCCCCCACCCCTAGCGCCCGTGATCGCCGCGAATACGAGCGCCCTCCAAGCAGAGTGCAGATGCCGTCCGCGTCCGGCAGCCCAGCCTCGGGGCCCCCGCCGAGGAAGCGGCGTCGTGCACGTCCTCGGGGGCACCTCGGCCCTGTGGGCAACGCGATGCTGGGGCGGCGCATCATGCGGCTGGCGGCTCGGCTCCCGTGCTTGGGGAGGAGGAGGGAGGAGCATGAGGAGGAGGAGGATGAGGAGGAGGAGGAGGAGAGAGGAGGAGGAGGAGGAGGAAGAGTGGAGGGGAGGAGGGGGAGAGGGAGCGGGGGGGAGAAGGAGCACGGAGGACGGAGGAGGAGGATGAGGAGGAGGAGGGGGAAGGAGGAGAGGGGGAGGAGGAGGAGGAGAGGTGGTAGGAGAGAGCAGGAAGAGGAAGAGGAGGAGGGGAGGAGGAGGAGGAGGAAGAGGAGGAGGAGAAGGAAAAGAGGAGGAGGAGGAGGAGGAGGAGGAGGAGGAGGAGGAGGAGGAGGAGGAGGTGGATACCGCCTCACTTTGTCTGCTCTGTGTCCGGCCCCCTCCTGGGCACCACGGACACGCGTTTTTTTTTGGAGGGGGGTTGTCTCAGGCTCAGGGGGCTTCCAGGCCCCCCCCCCCAGAAACGATAATGCGCCCGACAGGGAAGCGAATCTCAGTGGAGGAGGAGGGGGACAAGGCAGGCCGTTCGTTAGGCGGCCCAGCTGGGTTTCCGACGTCTGTCTACCATTCTCGCTTCTGCCCAGGAGGAAGAAGAGGAGGAGGAGGAGGAGGAGGAGGAGGAGGGTCCGCAGGACGATGACGACGACGACGACGACGACGACGACGACGACGACGACGACGACGACGACGAGGGAGACGACGACGAGGGAGACGACCACGACGTTCACGGCCATGCTTGAGGGTAATGAGGCGGGGAGGGGGAGGGACGGGGAGGAGGATGGGGAGGAGGGGAAGGACGACGTGACGACGTTCGCAGCCATGTTGGAGGCAAAGGAGGCACGTAGGATGGGAAGAGGGGGGAAGCTGAGGATGATCAGGAGGATGAGAGGGAGAAGGGGAGGAAGGCGCTAGGGTAAGCTTTCGTGCTGGCCCGTATCCTGACTACCCAGCGGCCTCCGAGGGCCAACCGGATGCCCTGAAAGGAACAACAATTGGTCAAATACGTAGTGGGGTGAGCGAACGTGGTGTGATGAGCGAAATGCTGGACGGCAGCTGGCAAACTATGGCGTGGGTAACTGCCGTGTTGGTGAAAGCTGTGCTCTCGGCGGTCCACAGTGGGATGGCCCCCATGGGATGGTCCCTCCGTCATCCGTCCCCTCCTCCTCCTCCTCCTCCTCCTCCTCCTCCTCCTCCTCCTCCTCCTCCTCCTCCTCCTCCTCCTCCTCCCCCCTTTTTCCTTCCCCTCCTTCCCTCCCCCTGCTCCTCCTCCTTCCTCACCCTCCCTCTCCTTCTCCTCCCCCCTTCCCCCTCCTGCAGCACCGCTCAACGTCGTGCCGCTAGCCGATCCCGCGGGTTGGGCCCTCGCCACTCATGTGCACCTCAGCTTTGGCCTCATGTGCACCTCAGTCCTCCCCCCACCCGCCCTAGCCACAGTCGCGGTGCTGAAGAAGGAACCCGTTTCGTTTGGTTGCTTTGCAGTTCGCCTTAGGTTTGCCTCAGGTGTTCGATGGGAAGTCGAAGTTGAACCCACGGAAAAAAGGGGCCTCGTTCCTTGTTTAGGGTTCCTCGTGTCAACGCCCCTACTGTGTGGTAGTGGGGGTGAGAAGTTGGCTCGTCGGGGCATCCGACGGGCACGCCCGAGAGCCTCGAAGCCCGAGGCGAGCCCGCCCTCCTCGGCCGGTGTGCCGCGGTCGCGCCGCCGCGCGCGCCCGCGCGCGCCCCCCCCCCCCCTCCCCCCCTCAGCGGCACCCGAGGCCAGAGAACGGCGGGATCCTCCCCGGCCTCGAGCAGAGGCAGTCCCCCCCACCCTCGGGGGGCGGGGGGGACCAGGGGGGGACAGGGAGGAGGGAGGAGGGAGGAGGGAGGAGGGAGGAGGGAGGCGGAGGAGGAGGAGGAGGAGGACGAGGAGGAGGAGATTGTTGCGATGTGGCAGAGTCGCGGATGCCTTAATATGGCTTGGGGATTTCAATGCTGACGGCAACGTTCAGTTTGGATCCGGAACCGCGGAGGACAAGTTGAGATGGCAGTCCCTGTCGAACGTGGTCGGCGCCACAGGCCTACAGGCATGCATGCAGGAGACGGCCCCTGTCTACACCTGGACGCCAACGGGCGAACAGCAAGGGCAACCCATTTGGCTGGACCACTGTTTCGCCTCAGCCGGTACGGTTGCGACGGCACGGGCAACGTGGGATTGCGCCCGTGGTGATCACTCGTGGCTGATCGTCAAGCTGTCCAGCGACGTGCAGTCGTTCCAGCACCGGCCGCAGAGGAAGGTATGGCAGTGCACAGACATGGAGGAGTACGAGCGGGAGTTGGCCACTATCGATGTTGATTCGCTCGAGTCCGTTGAGGACATCGCGCGCGCGGTGGCTGCTACAATGGACAAGTTCACCAGCAGGCAGACGTCGCGACAGAGGAGGCGAACCAGAGAGCCGATGCAGATCAATGAGTTGAGGCGCAGAGTCAGATGTACCTTGGACCTGGGGCAGAAGGTTCACTTGAACAAGTTGCTGACCGACATGCGAAAACAATGGCTCGCGAAGAAGTGGGAGGTTGAGGGCGTCGACAGAGCCCGGCGGCTCAAGCGGTTGCCATCTACGCGAACAGGGTTGCACGCAATCACGTCGATGCAGATTGGCAGGGAGACGACCCAGGACCACACTGCGTGGGCTACGGCATGCCAGGTCGAAATGGTAAAGCGTTGGACTGAAGCGAACGAGACCCGTGCGGGGAGCTGGATGAACAAGGACACTCCCGGCTTTCTGCACGACGCCGTACCGTTCGACGATTCAGAGGTGGGGGTCGCTCTATCTCAATTGCGCAAAAAATAAAAGGATGAAAGATAGATCGGGATTGTGCCCAGCCGCTTTCCGAGGTCAGACAGGTATTTCATTGGCCAGGAAGGTGGTCAACCTGCTTCTCGTGGACGACATCGGGTGGGACGCCGTGGAGCTCGAGGGGTATTCCAAGTCCAAGATACCAGGAGTCGCGCTGCCCGCGAAGATCCGCACCGTCATCCCTCATAATACCATATTGAGCACGTGCCACGCGTGCGTGCAGGAGCGAGTCGTGAGCATCACCGCTGCATGGAGCGAAGCCCAAGGGCTGGATTTCCTCATCCTCGGAGGGAGCAAGCATCACCAACTGGCCGAAGTCACCTTTACGTGCAACCAGCTCGTCGAGAAGAGCATAGACCGTCGTAACGCTGGCGCGATGGGCTCCATGGACGTGGCCAACTTTCACGATTGTCTGTGCTGGGACAGCGCCTGCGACATCATGGCCCGCCGGGGTGTGCCAGCAGCAGACGCGATGGTGCTCATGCGACTTCACTCCCGACCGCAGGTCCGGATACGTGTGGGGAATGCTCTGACCGACGCGGTGGTGCGTATCAGAGGCGCTTTCACAGGTGCGCGGACGGCGGCTGCCATCGCCCAGTGGGTGATCGAAGACGCTTTCGTCGACTCTGCTGGGTCCCTGGCCGGACGAGGTTGGGAGCTTGCGGAAGGGCGCTTTCTGTCAGCAATGGCATGGGCAGACAACCTGGTCAGTTTTGGGGACTCCGTGCGGGAGGCGGCGGGCGTACTGACCATCATCGAGGAAGCTCTGATCCGACAGGGCCACACAATCAAAGATGACAGCCAGGAGTTGCTACAGGTCTCGCAGCAGCCACTGGGCGAATGGCAGTTGGAGCATGGTGGCAGCAGATGGCAAGTCAAAGATGAGCTTGTTATCATCGGACGAACTGTGAGCGGTAATGCAAGCAGCCACGCGGATCGAACGAAGGCCTTGCTGAAAATCCAGCGGTCATGGTTCAAACACCGACGCCTTCTGCAGAACAGCGCTTTACCTTTCGGATCCCGGGCAGAGATGCGGGGAAGACACGCGGAGAGCATCCTGAACTTCTACGCCGGAACGTGGGCCCTAGCAAAGCAGATGGTGCAGACTCTAGATTCCACCCAGCTCCGATACGTCGCCCAGATGAGTAAGATCCCCCGCTTGCCTTTCGAGGAGTTCCGGCTGTGGAGAGCCAGGAGAGCTCGAGCTGCACGACCTCGCATCGGCAGACGGTGGGGCGATATTGCTATCCCTCGAGCCGCAAATTGGCTGCGGCATCTCCGCCGTCACCCGGATTTCCCGGCGTCGGAGCTTCTCCGCTGCCACGACCGAGCGTGGTTACGGGAACGTCGTGCCCAGCATCACCAACGCGAGCATCGAGGAGAAGGCGTTTGGGGAGGCCGGACGGGGACCAGAGCGGCTGGAGGGACACCCGCTCGATGGGAGGGGGCATGGACAGAGGCACTGGAAGATGCCCCAGAGAGGCGCCAAGCTTCCGAGGCGGAAGTCTCCAGGGCACGATCCAGAATCTGACAGGTGAGTGAGGCCCGTCCCTCCCCCCTCCGTTGCCCCCCACTTCCTCTCCTCCTCCTCCTCCCCCTTCCCTCTCACCCCCGAGGCGGGCATACATGTTGTCTCCAGCAGCTCGTGTCAGTATCTGTATCTCGCCAGCGTGATCGATGCATGCCGGGGGAGGGGTGTGTTTTTTCAGGTCTGAATTCTGAATTTCTTAGCGTCCATTGTTCAGGTTATCTTCCACCCAGTTTGAAACAAGTAGGGCTCATTATAGCCGCCGAGAGAGAGAGAGAGGAGGAGGAGGAGGAGGAGGAGGAGGAGGAGGAGGAGGAGGAGGAAGAGGAGGAGGACGAGGACGAGGACGAGGGAGGACGAGGTTCACCGAGCGCGCTCCACGACTCGCGGAGTGCCTATTCGCAGGAAGGTCATCAGACACGGGCGCTGCTCGATGCAGTGGGGCCGGCTTGCCTCGATGCGATGGATCCAGGAAGTTTGCGAGTAGCTTCTGCTGCGAGTAGTGGAACGCGCTTTTTTAGAGAGAGGAGGAGTACCGCCGCTGCCGCCGCCGCCGTCGTCGTCGCCGTCGTCGCTGTCGCCGCCGCCGTGGCAGCCGGAGTCATGGGCGAAGACAAATTTGAGGAGGGCGAGGAGGAGGAACGGGAAGGAGGAAGCGGATGGAGTGTTCGTGATAATGAGAGGAGCAGGAGCAGGAGGAGGAGGAAGAGGAGGAGGAGGAGGAGGAGCACGACAACGAGGACGAGGACGAGGATGTGGACGAGGACGAGGACGAGGTTGAGGAAGGGGACGAGGACGAGGACGAGGCCGAGGAGGAGGGGGAGGAGTTTTTGCGATCGAGCGTGTTAGCTGCCCACATGCACCCATAGTCCACAGTAGTGGACGAGGCCACCTTGGTACTACGAGGAGGAGGAGGACGAGGAGGAGGAAGATGGGGAGGAAGATGAGGTGGATGAGGAGGAGGAGGAGGAGGAGCAGGAGGAGGAGGAGGAGAAGCAGCAGCACATGCGCCAGGAAAGCGAACAGAGAGGAAGCATGTAAGCTGATGGTGAGGAGGGAGAGGATGCGGAGGAGGAGGAGTGCCAGGAGAGAAAAGCTAGCGAGGACGACACATTCGAGGGAATGGAGGGCCATGAGGTGGATACAGTACTTTCCAGGATTGAGAAGCAGCGAGAATGTCGGCGCACATGCTGCTGCTTGGGTACAGGGCCAGGGCCCCCACACCCGGCAATCTCTCCACCCGTTTTGCATGCGTTGTCGCTTCGGTCCGCAAGTGCTTCACCCTATTTTACGTGTCGAAGCTCTTGCGACGTATGCTTCGTAAGCACACTAGAACCACTCAGGACACGGCATCGGAGCGTCGCGTTTTTTGAGAGATGCACATGAGACGATCATCATTGCCTCACGTATCCACGTCAGCCCATCCAAGTCCTATGTAATGTCAAGGGAGCATGTTGTCGTGAAGAAGAACACGGGAACAATAATGACACACAGAAGGATTGTACAGGTTCAGCCTGGAAATGCGTTCGAGGTCGCGTTGCGATGACAATTTCCCGACCTAGGCTCTGCCTAGAAGGGTTCTTACTCTCTTGTGCTTAAAGGGGGCCGGGCAGTGGGCTCCGCCCCGGGCGGTTCCCCCAGGATCCGCCCCGCGGTTCCCCCAGTTACGTCCTTTGGGTTCACCCAGCTTAGCCAAACTTAGCTTAGCTTAGCTTAGCTTAGCTTGGCTTATCTCATCTTAGCTTAGCTTAGCTTAACTGAGCTTAGCTTAGCTTTGCCTAGCCTAGCTTAGCTTAGCTTAGCTTAGCTTAGCTTGGCTTAGTTTAGCTTAGCTTAGCTTAGCCTAGCTTAGCCTACCCTAGCTTAGCTTAGCTTAGCTTGGCTTAGCTTAGCTTAGCGTCGCTTAGCGCATCGCAGCATAGCGCAGTGCAGCATTAGCACAGCATAGCATAGCATAGCCAAGCATATCATATGATAGCATAGCATAGCTCAGCATAGCATAGCATAGCACAGCATAGTATAGCATAGCGCAGCATATCATATCATAGCATGGTATAGCATTGCTTAGCATAGCACAGCGCAGCATGGCATAGCATAGCACAACATAGCATAGCATAGCATAGCGCAGCATAACATAGCATAACATAACATAGCATAGCATAGCATAGCATAGCGCAGCATACCATACCATATCATAGCATATCATAGCATAGCATATCATATCATAGCGCATCATAACATAGTATAGCATAGCGCAGCATAGCATAGCATAGCATAGCATAGCATAGCATAGCATAGCACAGCCTAGCATAACACAGTGCAGCCGAGCGTACCCTAGCATAGCATAGCATAACACAGCGCAACATAGCGCAGCATAGCGCAGCTCAGCAAAGCATTGCATAGCATAGCATAGTGTAGCATATCATAGCGCAGCATAGTATAGCATAGCCTAGCCTAGCCTAGCCCAGCATAGTATTGCGCAGCAAAGCATAGCATAACATAGCATAGCATAGCATAGCGCAGCACAGCATCCACTATTGCTGCTCTCTCTATATATATATGTATACCTACATATATATAGATGTAATTATATTTTATACATATATATGTGTGTGTGCGCACGTATGTTCCATGCATGTTGTGCGTCTGTGGGCGTTTACCGCTCCTGCTAATGTTGCTTTCCTAGAGGCTCCAACTTCTAGGCAGGGTCGCACTGGGATAATTTTGCCTTCTGTTGTTTCATCGAACAGCAGTGTTGCTTAGCGTCGTTCGTATCGCATTCCCTTTACCCGTGGATAGTTGAGCATTGCCCAGCTTTGCGTAGAGTAGCATGGCATGCGCGAGCTCAGCTCGGTTCGGTTTGGCACGTCCCAGTTTCGCTGAGCCGAACGGCGCTGAGCTAATATTGATGTCGACCTGTTGGTTTGATGTGGCGTCAACTTGCTTATGTAGGGCTGCTGGGGCATTCCGTCGCTGGGCTGGCGGAACCCTAAGTTGACATTGGTTGATCTTGGCGTAGACCAGCATAGCATTGTTGAGTTGGGTTGATATACGCTCAGCTTATGTTAACGCACCTTTGCTTCCGAGGCCTCTGGCTGGGAGCTTTTTGCAGCCCTCTTGTGGATGTCCCGCTTGCGTTCTGTCAGCCTCTGTTCACCTCGTGGGGCCACTCTGGCCGTTTTCCCACTCCCAACCTTCTTCTTTTTTCCTCTGTCTCTCCTCTTCTTCCTCATCTTCCTCCTTCCTCTTCCTCAGCCCTCTCCTCCTGCCTCATCCCCCTTCCCCCTGCCTTGTCTTCCCTTCCCTCCTCGTTCTCCCCCCGTCCCTCGCTCCTGCCCATCCCTCCTCTTCCTCGTCTCACCTCTTCCCCCCTTCCCCTTCCCCCCTACCTCCTCCGCCTCCTCCTCGACCTCGCGAGAGAAAGGGCTAGCCTGCCTCCGTTGCCCCGAGTGCTCCCCCCCAATGGCAGGAGCTTCGGCTCAGCGTGTTGTGCCGCCGGTTCTGGCCGACCACGCTTCGGCGACACGCTGTCGACGTCCGAGATCCCGAGCATCAATGTCCGGAGCTGTTCCCAGCCTCCCGCCCCGCAGAGCGGAGCGACACGCTAGCCGCTCGCAGGGCATAGCATGTCGCCGTGGCCGCCGCCGCGACACGCTAAGCGAGAGTTCCCGACCGTAGACCTCATCCGACCTCATCCCCAAAGATCCAATGTTTTTTTCAATACGGGGTCCCTGGAAGTCCCGACCCTTTCCCCAGGGCCAGTTTTGCATCCGGAGTCGTTTTTTACAGTCGCGGGGCCCGGCAAGGGCCCCCAGAAGAGGCCGAACACGACGACAAATCTCTGAAGTGAATTCTCCTACACGATGGAGGTCTGGGACCCAGACCGATGCCGCGTGAGCGAGCAACGCAAAACAGCGGGTTCGACTGCGCGGACAGTGGCGCGTAAGTTGCCCGCGTAAGGCCGCGTGTGCGCCCTCGTTTCCAGTGGGCGTGCCGCGCTGGCGGTTCACGTAAGCCAGCGCGTAAGGCCGCAACGGTGGGAGCATTGGTTAAGGAGAGTGCCCAGGAGGCTTCAGACCTTGGAGGTTCCCTTATTCCATGAGGTTAGCGTTGTCCATGGCCGAGCCTCAATGGGTGTCCCACCGGCTTGCAGACCCTGGATTCTTTATTCAGGGGTTCCTTATCCAATGCCCTCACCGCGTGGCTCAAGTGCCTGGCGCTGGGCCCCCGCCGCCGCCTTCCCGCTGGACCCCCGCAAGTTGTAAGTCGGCACTTCCTCCTCGGGGCGGATGGCTGGCCCGAGGGGCCCGCCTGGGCGCTGACGCCACCGGCGCAGGGCGCCCGCCCGCTGCCCCACGGCGGCCGCTGGGCGCCTCGCCCGCTCTTGCGGGCTCCGGCGGCTCGATGGAGGCCTTCGTGCTCTTCACTGCGGTGACGGCGCTGGCGGAGGACCGCTGGGCGCGGGCGCGCGGCGCTGGATGGCCCGCCTCCCTGCAGCTCGCCGCCCCCCCGCTCCTGCCCCTCGACCTCTCGCTGCTGGAGATGCTGCTGGCTGGCCTCGACCGCTCGGGTGCGCTGGTGCCCTCCCGCCTGGCTGCTGGGCGCGGCACTGGCCACCCAGGGGCGATGCCCCTTTTTCCCAGGGAGTGGCTTCGGTGGACTGCCCCCTTTTGGGGGCGGCACGGCCTGGTGGGTGTCGCGTGCGGTGACGCCCCAGGTGACGCCGCAGACCTGGATGCGCGCGCGGGTCGGGCCGCGTCGCAGCGGACGCTACGGGAGGGCCGCGGGGACTGCTGAGCGGTGGACTGCTTAGCGGCGCCGTGGGGCTCGTAGTGGTGCGGTGGCCCAGGTCTGGCTATGCCCAGGTCTGGCCACCGCGGTGCCGAGCTCGTGGGGCGGGCCGTCGCCGTCGTGTCGTCGTCGTCGTGAATGCATGCATGACCACGTGGGTTCGCCTACTCGAAGAGTTAAACATGCCCTCACCGCGTGTCATCTTGTGCAAGACCCGTTCCTTTTTGTCGCCCATGTGCCGATCCCCTCGCGTACGCCAGCGCGTAAGGTCGCTCTACCTCGGAGGAGGACGACGATACAGATCCACCTCGTTCCCCCCACTCCCCTCCCCCAGAAAGGATGTACACATTCAGAGGAGGAGGAGGAGGAGGAGGAGGAGGAGGAGGAGGAGACCGTTTCTTCACTGCTTGGGGCATGACGGGCGTCATGGCCCCCGCCCCCCCCCCCATGACGTAATGCTCCCCCCCCCAGTGTGCTCCGGGCACTGCCGCCGTGCGCATTGGGATCCGCGGAGGTGTCCGCTTAGGATTCGCATGGGAGTCTGGTCCGCAGTCGTCGTCGTCGTTGTCGCCCGTGGCTTGTCGCTCGTCGCTCATAAGCGTCGTGCGCGTGGAGGCGGCTGAAACCTGTTCTTTATTCTGGGCCGATGACGGCAATCATCTAGGGGGGTGTGGAGGGGGTCGATGACGTCGCGTTTCGCGCCGGCGGCGTATGGACGGGTAGCGCCAGCATGTAGGTGGCAACTTGCACCACGACGCCTGTGTTCACCACGGTGCCTGCGTGCACCGCAGCGCCTGTGTACACCACACCGCCTATGTACACCACAGCAGCCGCGTGCAACACAGCGTCAGTTTTGTGCCACCGTGCCTGCGGGCACAACAGCTCTTGTGCACACCACAGCGCTTGCGTACACTACATCAGTCGTGTGCAACACAGCACCAGAGTACACCACAACGCCCGCGTGCATTGCAGTGCCTGTGTGCACCACGGCGCCTGTGTGCACCACAGCAATCGTGTGCAACACAGCACCACTGTTGTATGTAGAATGTTGGAACAAATCCTTATCACTACACGGAGCGCTTGTGTATTCCACAGAGAACAATATAACATCGTCCTTATGGACAACGGAGCGCCGTTGGAATCTACGAGACCTCCCGACTCCGCCCGCATCACCCTAACTCCTCCGATTTGCGTCCAGGAGGCTCCAGCTAAAATGGCCATCCGAGAACCAAGTGGGCCGATTCAATAGACCATTATGCGGTGCGCGCTGAGATGCGCACGTGCGCTGCAGCGCCAACCCGCACGACAGGGGGTAAGGAGGAGGAGGGGGAGGAGGAGGAGGAGGAGGAGGAGGAGGAGGAGGAGGAGGAAAATGAGGAGGAGCAGTAGGAAGAGGAGGTGGTGGAGGTGGAGGAGGAGGGAGGAGGGAAAAACGTCGCATTCGATTATCAGCACTCTCCTGGCGTGGCGTCTAGTTGTCCGCAGCAGATCTTCACGTACATGCTCTTTCTACCTGTCCTACGCACGCAGGCATTGTGGTGTACACCAGCAGTGCGTTGCACGCGGATGTTGTGGTGTAGACACGCGCTGTGGCGTGCACAGGCGCCGCGGTGCACGCAAGCACCGTGGTGTACACAGGCGTTGTGTTGCACATGGTAGCTGCGGTGTACACATGTACACCGGCGCTGTAGTGTACGCGAGCATTGTGGTGTACACAGGCGCTGCGTTGCACACGGTTGTTGTGGTGTACGCAGGCGCTGTGGTATACACGCGCCCGCGCAGTGTTGCACGCGAGCGTTGTGGCGTACACAGGCGCAGTGGGGCATATCGCCACCTACATGCTGCTCGCGTCGTCGTCGTCGTCGTCATCTCTCGTCGCTCGTCGCTCGTCGCGCGCACGGGCGCAGCTGCGGTGCCGGAGCCACACGGCGGGGGGGGGCGTTACGTCATACCCCCCCCTCGCCCCCCCCCCCATGACGCAGGTCATCGCCGAACATAAAGAAGCGTTTTCTCTCTTTCTCTCTCTCTCTCTCTCTCTCTCACGGAGGAGGAGGAGGAGGAGGAGGAGGAGGAGGAGGAGGAGGAGGAGGAGGAAGAGGAAGAGGAGGAGGAGGAGGAGGAGGAGGAGGAGGAGGAGGAGGCGAGAGGGAGGAGGAAGGAGGTGAATCTGTACAAACGTTCGATTCCCAATGTCATTTTGCGCAAGACCCGCTCATTTCCGTCGCCCATGGCGGGCTCCAGAGAGGGCCGTGCCTTCGAGGGTCGAAGGAATTGGCATCTTTTCCTCGGCGGAAGGCGGCGGAAGGCCGGCGGAAGTACAACGAGGGCGGCCCCGAAGGCGAAAGCCCGCGAAAGGCTGGCGGCAGCCGGCGGAAGTACAGGATGCGGCCCCGAGTAATGACAACATAGTTTGGGTTTCCGAGCTTCCGGGATCGGCCAGACGTGCCGATGCTCCCAGAAGTCCGACGCCTCAAGTTTCTCAGGACGGGGGCTCTTCGTCCTGAGTCGTTCTTTTGACAGTCCCGGGCGACGCTTGGATCCGACGTCGCCAAAACAATTAGAACATCGTGCAAAAAATCACTACCGGGGCCCTAGACCCAGGGCTCGTTTCGATTCCTCCGATTCGATTCGACTCGACTTCGATAGATTCCGATTCCGATTCGAGTCGATTTTGGATTTCGATGTGGGCTCTTAGTTCTTACTGGACGCATACTAGTCTGCCGATTTCCGCCGATCGGACTTCTCCCGACCCGGCTGCCGATTTCCGCCGATCCGACTTATTTCGATCGCCGATCCGATTTCTCGACTCGATTCTGGGTCTTTGCCCAGACCGCACCTGTCTGCCCAGACTGCATCTGCCTGCCTTCTACGAGGAGAGGAGAGGAAGAGGAGGAGGAGGAGGAGGAGGAGGAGGGCTCCTCCTCCCTGCCTCCTCCTCCTCCCTCCTCTCCTCCTCCTCTTCATCCTACCTTCTCCTCCTCCTCCTCCTCCCTCCTCCTCCTCCTCCTCCTCCTCCCCCTTCCGTTGCCATTTTGGTTCAAGGCCAAAATGGTGTTCATTTCACTGCCTATCTGGGGTAGGCTCCCACAGCTTTCGGTGCTTTTCGTATCCGCAGCCACACTCACGGGCGAGCTGCCGCCCACTTCATATTCCTCCCTTGCGCTGCTCGCGAGAGCTCCCTGGGAAGCAGAGAGACGATGGCCGCCGCGGATCGTGGTGGAGGGACCGCCCCTGCTGACGGAGGAGCTGCCGCCAATGCTGGCGGCACCAGGCCGCGACGCGCACGCCCTGAAGGCGGACGAGGCTCGCCAGCAAGGTTCGCAAGCCAATACACAGTCTGCAAGCAGTGCCGATACCGATGGACATGGAAGGGAAAGTCCGAGTGCTTCTATTTTGGCAAGCAGCTGGCTCCATCACCTGCCGAACACCGCCAGCCCACAGGGGCATGGGCAGGAGCCAGCAAGCCACCGCCGTGGAAGGAGCCGCCAGTGGCCGCCGCCCCTACAAGGGACGCCATCCTCGCCGCGCTCAGCACGCTCCTCAGCGACACCAAGCACGCCGAACTCGTCGGCAACCTCAAGGACGCCCTCCAGCAGCCCGACAAGCCTCCGCCTGCCCGCACAGCCGAGCAGGTGCTCCAGTCGGCGCTGTCAGTCCTCATCGACAGGGAGAAGAAGTTCCAGCAAACGGTCGACGACGTCGAGACCGCCAAGCAGTGGTACGACGACGCCGTGGACAAACAAGAGCAAGCCGCCCTTGACCTCGTCCAGGCACAGAACGCATGCGCCAAGGCACAAGCTGACCACAGTGCCAAACTCGCTGGAGCAGTACGCGGAGCACCACCTGTGGGGCCTCAGGAAGCCTTCAAGGTTGACAGCTTAGTGTGGGACGACCTCTCCATTTACGATGATGGCACCCGCGCCCAGATGGAACAGTGGAAGCAAGAGCTCGACCAGCGCCTCGCCGAGCTCAACAATGGCCAAGAAAAAGCTCGAGAGCTCCTACGCCAAGCCAAGGAGTCCACCACCAACCCTGCGAAGCGCAAGAAGCCGAATGGGGAATCACCTGCTGCTCAGCAACCTGCTCCTGAGTCTGGGCACCCTTCCGTGCCACCAGCTGAACAGCAGCCAGCCGCCGCACCTGGAGGACAGGCACAACCTGGCACGCCAGGAGGTTTTGCCGCCCTACCTGCTGAGCCATGTCAGCCTGGAGGTGCCCCTGGGCCCGCCGCAGCCGCCCCTGCCGCCGACGAGCCCTCCAAGGAGGACCGCGAGGCCGCCGCCGAGCTCATCGCCACCACCGCCAGGGCCAGGGAGCTGGCCTTCGCAGCGAAGGGCATTGGCAAGGGCTTCGCCACGGTTCCAGCGGCAGCGGCAGGGGCCCCACCGTCGCTGGGGTAGCCGCAAGCAGCCTGCTCGGCTTGAGGGGCCTGGGATCCGCGCCAGTGGTCCGCCCACGGCAGGGGCGCCCGCCCCTAAGCCCGAGCAGGCAGCGCAGATCCTGTTCGGCAACATCACGGAGTGGGGCCCGCAGGCCGCGAACTTCTGTCGCAACGCAGGGTGCAAGTACCACCTCATAGCGCTAGCGGAGACGCACGTCGTCGCGAACGGCCTCACGGAGCAGATCGGCAAGCTCGCCATGGACGGCTGGAAGCTCTCGGCCACACCGGCGGTGGCTACCAACAAATCGGACAAGGGGGCCCATGGCGGCGAGTGGATCCTCACGCGCAGGGACGTGGCGGCGACTACGTTCGAGGGCTACAGGGACTACTCTGTCAAGCGCCACAAGAGGCAGCCGTTCGCGGGGTTCACGCCGACGGTCCCCCACGCCAAGAGCGGCAACATAGTCGTCGTAGCGGCGTGCCTTCGCCCTGGTCTACGGGACCAAGGCGCGAACAGGGACATCTTGGTCTCCATCTCCACCTTCGTGGACATGCTCACGGACCCGTGGATCATCCTGGCCGACTGGAACTACGAGCCGCACTGGTGGGGCAACAAGCCGTGGCTCACGCGCTGGAACGGCGCCATCCTGACCGACCCGAATTGCAAGGCGACGTGCGAGAAGGGCTCGGGCTCCGTGTACGACTACGCGATCGTACGAGCGGACATCGCCACGCACATCGGGGTCGAGGCCATCTACGACGTCCCCTGGAAGACCCACTGCGGCATCCAGATCACGGTGGGCACCGCCGAGCCGTGGCAGTACAAAGCTATAGAAGTTCCCAAAGCCCTTCCCGCACGAGCCAGACCCAAAAAGGTCGCGGACCCAAACAGCAAAAGGTCCAAGGCTCGTGCGGAGGCGTTGCGAACCAGGAGGGAAAGGCTACCAGAGCACTTGCGCGACGAGTTCGACGCCCTGTACACCAACCGCGAGACGGCCAAGGAGGGCCCCACCCCACCCCCTTCGTCACCCCCCAGGAGAACTGGGACGACGCCGCCGACGAGGTCAGCAGCGTCCCGAAGTTCGATGGCACAAAGGTCGGCACCAAGGAGGGCAGAGGACACATCTTCCACAGCCATGAGCCGAACCTCGCGGAGGACATCAACTCGAAGTACGCGCAGTGGATCGCGACCCTGGAGCTCGCCTTCCTGGAGACGCATGCGGTCCCCGTCGAGGACAGGGCCAGGTACCAGGGCAGGGCAGAGGGGTGCAGGACCACCAAGCAGACGATGAAGGCGTCGCCTGGCAGAGCGTACCTCAAGGACCCCGAGGCCACCTGGTGGCAGCACCTCAGCACCCTTGTCGCGAGGTACACCGCGCTGGTCACGAACGGCAAGGGCCCCGAAGCCCGCCAGCACATCCACAAGACAGTCATGAAGAAGTTGGACGACCCAGAGAACCCCGAGTTCCCCAAGGAGCACTTCGGTAGCAAAACCGACCCGCCGGAGATCGAAGAGTGGAAGGCCCAGCTCGCCACCCTCGAGTACTGCTACGAGGGCGACCTGCACCGCATCAGCGCCGCCGCCATGGAGTGGACCCACAAGGCCATGGCGAGAGCTGCAGGTAGAGCGCGAAAACGGTACCTCGACTGGGCGAAGCAGGCGTGGAAGGAGTCACCAGGCAAGCCGCGCCGCATGGTCGCCGACCCCAAGGCGCCGCGCCTGGAGGACAAGCAGCCCCAGAGGACGGTGGGCGACCCATCCGCGGTCATGAACCACTCCGCCGACACCTGGCGCTCCATTTGGGCGTCCGACAGCTACAACGCCAAGCAGATCACCAGCGCCTACGAGAAGGCCATGCGACTTGCGAAAGAGGACCCTCTCTCGCCCATCGAGCCGCAGCACGTGCAAGCCATCGTGGGCACCGCCAACCCGAAGAAGGCGAGAGGAGTCGACAACATCGGCCCCGTCGACATCCAGAGGCTCCCCGAGAAAGGGATCCAGGAGCTCGCCGACATCTACAACCACGTGGAGGCCAACGGACTTTGGCCGCAGCAGCTCTGCGCCACCATTGGGGCCATGGCCCCCAAGCCCGCAGGTGGAGAGAGAGAATCTTGGGCATGCTCCCCACCATCCCCAAGACGTGGGCCAAGGTCCGCTCCAGCGTCACCGACGAGTGGTCCAAGGAGCTCGGGGAGTTCTGGGACACCGCCATCAAAGGCTCCAGCGCCTTAGGAGCAGCGCTGGTCAGGGCGCTGCTCGACGAGGCGGCAGCGACCTTTGGCATCGCCTTCGCGACCTTGCTGATGGACGTAGAGAAGTTATACGACTCGGTCTGCTACGCGCTCCTCTTCGACGCCGCCATCGGGGTGAACTTCCCCCCGATCGTCGTGGCGCTGGAGGTGCAGCTCTACCTGGCGCCCAGGTACTTGCGCATGCACGGCTGGGTCAGCGACATCATAGATGCCGAGAGGTCCATTGTCGCGGGCAGCTGCAATGGCGGCAAGCTCGCCAAAGTCTACCTGGGACCGATCCTGCAGAGGGCCCACATTAACCACACCTACGCGGGCCTGTGGACGTTCGTGGACGACGCGGTCGCGAGAACAGAGGGCCAAACCAAACAGGTCGTCAAGGATATGATCAGCGTCGGCGCCGACCATTGCGCCGGCATGACGGGCGCGGGGCTTCGAGTCTCGCCCAAGACCACCGTCGTCGCCTCCAACCAGACGATCGCCTACGCAGTGCACGACGGCCTCAAGCAGAAGGGCTACTACGTCAAGGTGGCCAACAGCGCGGTCGACCTCGGCATCGACGTGGGCGGCGCCAAGAGACGGGTCGTGGCCAAGGCCACCAAGAGGGCCAAGACTGCGAGGAGGCGCACTCACCGCATCGTCGCCAAGGTCAGGAAGCACGCCTCCCTCGCCAAGATCGCGAAGGGCTTGTGGAACGCGGGCTCCAGGCCGCAGGGGACCTACGGCCACCAGATCATGGGCCTCGCCCCAGCGGCCATCCTCGACCAGAGGCGCCAGGCCATCCAGGCCTCTGCGGGCAAGGTCCCTGGCCGCTGTCTCTCCACAGCCCTGGCCGTCGTCATGAGGAAGAGGGGCCCCGCCATCGAGCTCAGGCGCCAGTCGATTGCCGAGTGGCTCAACTTCTGGACGCAGTACCCAGAACACCACATGCGGGTCACGCAGGCGTGGAAGCTGATCTACAACAAGTCGATCACGCGCGGCGGCAAGAAGTGGAGGAAGGTCATGGGCCCCATCTCCGCCATCCAGGCCATCCTCCTGGACGCTGGCTGGACCTGCCCGACGCCAACGGAGCGGTCACGACCACCTTGGGCAGGCGAGACCCATACCCAGGAGTGGCAGCTACCTCGCAGTGGACAAGCCGACTGGGAGGACAAGCGCTACGACGTGGACCCTGCGGAGTTCGTCCACGAGTTCTGCCTGTCCCTCGAGAGGAGCCTCTGGAAGGACGCTGCCAAACATCCACATGGAGAAGGATTGCAACGTGGGGGCCCAGACGCCCACATAGTTGCCAACGAGATGGAGAAGTTCACGAGGAAGGGCCAGTACGACCAGTCGGCCCTCAACCTGTGCGCGGTCGCGGGGGCGCAATGGCCCAGAAGCCGACTCATCGAGACGGGGTGCAACGCTATTCCAACTTGTCCGAGATGCGGAGAGGCCGACGAGACGCTCATGCGCAGGGTCTGGCTGTGCCCCTGCAACCGCGACCACGAGGACTACGCGGATTCTGACGCCCTGTTGCCCTCTGCCCTGGCTGGAGCAGAGGCTGCTCCCGCCTACTGGCTCCGTGGCCTGCCTGCGCGCGCTGACACGCACCCGCTCTTTGCTTCATTGGGGGGGGGGGCGGCGGGTGGAGCTGGGTTGGGCGGGATTGGGGGGGCTGCGTCAGTAGCGACGGCGCCCTCGCTCTCTTCGGAGACGGTTCCGGAGGTCAGTACAGTGATGACCCACGTCGCCGAAGAGTGGGGACCGCCTGTGCTGCTATGAAGTGCCTCTTCGGGGAGTGGGTCCCCTTGGGAGGAATAGTGTCGGGCCTCGAGGGCCCCTTTCAAACTGTGCCCCGTGCAGAGCTGCTAGCTTTCGCGCTCGCCCTAGAACACCGGAAGGGCGACCTCTGTTTCATTGCAGACCACCTGCCGCTGTACGACGGATGGCGGACGAATCGACACTTGCGCCCCAGCGATGGCGCAAATCAGGACATGTGGGCACGAATTGCCAAAGCAATTCGTGCACGTGGCACTAGTTAGCTCACTGTGATCTGGGTGCCCTCACACAGCGAGGAGTCACCTGGCCTAGCCTCAGACCCTGTGCGATACTTTCGCACTATCGGCAACGCGACGGCCGATGCATGGGCAGGTGTAGCGGCCCAACAGTCTTACGAGGCAGCGCTTGTAGGACAGGCCCCTCCCACTGACCTGCACGATGCCCAGTGCACCCTCATCCGCAGGAGGGCGCGCCGTGCCCTAGCTGACACGCTTGCAGTTGATCCGTGGGTCGCGGAGCGACCCTCGCAGGCCAGAGGCCCGCGCCTCACCAAGTTGCAGTTAGCCATGCAATCGAGTCAGCACGCCTTTGAGCTCAGAGCGGGCAAGTACCTGTGCTCCCGCTGCGGGCTCACCACAGACAAGTGTGAAGTACGCCAGGCCTGTGCCACGCCGTGCACCCACCAGCCGCCTCTGCCGTCAGCCAGTGACCAGATAGTGCCAGTACAGGGCACTATCACCATTTCTGGGCGCGAGCTGCACGCCAGCCATAAGCTCTATTTCATGCAGAAGTACCGCCTGTACTTCTGCCGCGGGTGCGGCAAGACGGCGACCGAGGACCCACGCCACCTTGCCGCACCCTGCACGGGAATCACCAAGAAAGGGCGAGAGAATCTCGCCAAAATAGACAAAGGATAATACACGCGCGCCCACGCTGGGCGCGATGGCCTCACCAAGTTTCTGCGCGCAGCTACCCACGGCATGGCCGTGGAAGAAATTTCAGCTGCCTCTGCGCCTGCCGCTGCAAGCGCCGCTCATAGTCAGGGCTAGAATGCACTTGGCATCGCCCGAACAACGCACCTGGGTGCGCTCGGTCTGTTCCTCTGTTCCTCTGTTCCTCTGTTCCTCTTCCCCATCGTTTGCCACTGCCGCTCGCCTCGTCTCCTGGCGCCCCCATGTCTCCCCGCTCTTTTCTCCCTTATCCTTCCTCCTCGTCTCCTACTCCTTTCTACACCTGCTCGATGCATCACTGTTTACCTCTCTCTCTTTCCCCCGAAGAGGCGGCCCGAGAGAGCGGCGCGCCCCTCTTCGCGTGCACTGCTCCCTACACGCGCACGGGATGGCGCCGAGTTGCTTTCTCTCTGCGTGGTTTGTTCCGATCCGAGCGTCTTCGGCCCATCCCAAACATGTCGTTCCTGCGGCAGCGGTGGCCTCCTCTTAGGATCGGCGCGGTGCTCCCGTCGTTCGGGATGGCGCTCTCTCGCCCCAGCGTAAGCCACGCTTTTGGGGATCCGGTTGATGCGCCTCGCCGTGGTCGCCCTCCTCATTTCCCCTCCCACCCCCCCTGGTCCTCCTGCTCCTGCCGCTCCTCCTGCTCTTGCTGCTGCAGTTCCTCCTTGCCCTCCTCCTCCTTCTCCCCCTCCTCCTCCTCCTCCTCCTCCTCCCTCCTCCTCCTCCTCCTCCTCCTCCTCCTCCAAATGTGCAACAGCATTCTATCATCCAGATTGCCCGCAACAACGACGGGTCTGTTTGTGGTTCCAGGTCCGCTTATGACACAGTTGGTTGATCTCCCCCGACCCACACTCTATGGGAAGGATGGGAGGTAGGAGGGGAGGAGTAGAGGAGAGGAGGAGAGGAGGAGGTGGAGAGAGGAGGAGGAGGAGGAGGAGGAGGGGAGGAGGAGGAGGAGGAGGAGGAGGAGGAGAGGAGGAAGGAGGAGGAGAGGGGAGGAGGAGGAAAATGAGGAGAGGAGATGAGGAGGAGGAGGAGGAGGAGGAGGAAGATTAGGAAGGCAGGAGGGGGAGAAGGAGGACGGGGGGGAGGGATGAGAGGAGGAGGAGGGGAGGAGGAGGCAAGGATGGAGGGTGGGGGGCAGAGAGGGTGATGCAGTATTGCGGTAATAGGATGAGGAGAGTGAGTGAGTAGAGTGAGGAGGAGGATTGATGAGGAAGAAGGAGTCGTAGTAGGTAGAGAGGGATGATGTCATGTGTAGTAGGAGGAGTGATAGGAGAGGAAGACGAGGAGTAGGATTAGGGAGCTTAGATTAGAGTGAGGATGATGATGTAGGTCGTTCCTTCTCAAGGGCAAGGGCGGAGCGAGAGGATGGAGAAGATATGGAGAAGGAGGAGATGATTATGAGGAGGGCGGCGGCGCATTGCAGACGACGGCGGCGAGGCGGGAGCAATGACTGAAGAGAGGTGGAGGAGAAAGGATGAGGAGGGGAGGGGGAGCGGCAGCAGCGGGACGAGGAGGAGGAGGAGGAGGAGGAGGAGGGTGGATGAGGAGGGGTAGGATGTCCGATGTGGCGCGAGCGCACCAAGCTCGACCGTTCCATCTCTCCCTTCCCCTGCCCCTCCTCCTCTTCTTCCTCCTCCTCCTCCTCCTCCTCCTCCTCTCTCTCTCTCTCTCCATCGGCCGTTAAGTCATCCTGACGTTGCCATCCCCCCCAACGGCTGGCCGTCTCTGAGGGGAAGATCAAACTAGTTGCCTCGCGACCGTTTGGTCGGGGCTCGAGATGATTGGTGAGGAAAATCGACCGGTGAAGTGACGAGCGAGGAAGGAGATGGGGGTAGGAGACCCTTGACCAAATAGAGGGCAGGAAGAGTGTCGAGGTGGGATGCTCACCGTGTAGCCGCTCTCGCCCGGGCGGAAGGCGCACGGGCCTCTCCCCATGCCCACA